AAGGGAGTGAATGCATCTACTGCTAGAGACTGGCCAAAAAAAGAAGGTAGGGAGGGGCTATGGACAGAGAAATTGTTCTGTTCTGTATCGAGATTAATCTCATCTTTTAAACATATTATTATGCTATACTTCCCTTTTATCTCACACCCACTTCCCCAAAGATGTGTCCCGCTTTTTGTATGTTGGAGAGTTAGGGACATTTAGAACCCTCTTTTAATTGTTATATTGGCTTTTTCATTTCGAATCCCCCTCCCAATTCCCCCCTTTAAAAATAATTCCCTCGGTTACCAATGCAATCAGCTGGAATTTTCCACAAAGTGTATCGTTCTGGGTAAATTGAAAAATCAATTTTTAAAATCAACAACTGATCCACAGATATAAAAAAAATTAATTGTCTATAGCTCAAACCATTTTGCTAAAAGATTGGTCTACGCTCTAGACAGTTAATTATTACATCATGCCTGTTAGTGATAGGAAAAATGCGCATCGGGAAATGTAAGAACAAACAACATTCCTGCAGGGACAGTATTAAAACATAGAGGGTCAGTGAAACTTTGTAGTATAATACATGTACAGGCTCTGTATCGTTATTAGATCTACTAATAAATAGAATTGCCGTTAGATTACTAAATACGATTCCAATGTCCTTAGTATCTGCACTACATACATTGTATTATACATGGTAGCCCTGTTGGTAAAAGTAAAGTATAGCCCCCGTTTTGAACTGACTAGCTTATAGTGCGCAGCAGGATCATCGCAGGGGTCACAGTGGGGTTAGTGCTATATCTTACGAGACCAGGGAATGGTGTGGTTTGTTCGTCGTGGTGTGCAAATACATGACTGGTGGGGTGAGGGTGAGGGTGGGGGCGGGGTTTATAGTTTACTTTTACCGCAAATGCTTCAACTTGAACAGTTCGATCAAGGATTTAGATCTAGACCTAGACTGAACGGACGAGGATGCATTCGACTCACAGAAACCTGCATCCCAACTCGAATCAAATGGAGATCGAGCAGCTTCGTATAAATCTGAAAACCATGCCAACATCAAGTTGATCAACATCACTTAAATTATCGGACCCATCAGTCAATGCAATCTAAAACTTCAGGCGAGATAAGACGTTTATTGTTCCGCTCAATAGGGCAAATTTGTAACAATATTGAGAAGGAAAGAAAGACGATCACCCTTGAACCTTATCCTAAACCAGTGCTAACCATCCTGGGGATAAAACCTAAGGAGAGATAGACGTTTTTGTTCAGCTCGATAGCGCACATTTGTAACAATAAATATGGAGAAGAAAAGAAAACGTTCACCCTTGAATGTTATTCTAAACCAGCAGTGCTAACTATCATGGGAGCTTTTGCCCGCTCCACTAGTGGGCGATTTGGCAATTTTGGCGGGCAGTGGGGGATCACCCGGGAAGTGACAGGTGTTATTTTATGCCCTTTTTGGAAATACATTATGTAAGTGGGTGGTCCCAAAATGTTATTATAAGCCTCTTCAATGTGGCAAAATATGAACACTGTATATAAAAGGGTTAATAACCACTGTTCTGAAATATCGTAAACTAACGTTAAGAAAATAAATATGTCGTTAAAAGGGGCTTAAACCATAATATCAATAGCTACCACACTTATATTTGAATTGAAAACTGTGTATCTTTTCTTTTAATGTGGGTGATTTAACGGCTCCAGCAACAGTTTACAACACTAAAGCAGCGGAATCCGACTTTGCCTGTCAGAGCCAACACGGGCTGATATATACACCACATCCCAGCATGAGATATTTTATAAAAATGTTCCCCACTCGCGAATTGGTCGCTTTTAAGGGCAAGCAGGCTAACTCATATTTCGGAGGTTTCCAGAAATCTTGACCTACACCAAAGGCGGGCATTGTCCTAACTATACGAGCAGTTTGGTTTCATTGCTGTGTATATTTGTTTGGTTGAAGAGAAAACTCTCCTTGTCCTTTAAAGAACCTGAACAAGGGGCAAAAACTTTACCTTCGATTTTCTCAAAACATCATTTTTCGGGATGGCCCCCTTGTGCTTAAAAGCGTCCAATTGAACTTCTGTCTCCCGCGCGCGACAGTGAAGTGTCTAACTGCTACACCCCAGTCACAGACGCCAGTAATCAATATCTTACAAAATCGTGCACGGAAACAAATTGAAAAAAGAAACAAAGCATTTTGCACTAGATATATAACTTCTGTTCAAATTGATCAATCATGAAACGTATGTATAATAATTGTTTAAAAAAAAAAAAAAGGGGTTATGTATAATTGTTGGACAGAGAATAATCTTTTCAAAAAGATATGGACACTTCCACTTAAACCAAATCTTTAGAAGAAGTCGGCTTGACATAAATTCAGACATTTTCTCATTGGTATAGTTTTCTAAATAAGTAAGTTAGTTTGGAATTAGTATTTTAATGAAGCGATCTAAATACTAAAAGGAAAAGCTTCTAAAAGAAACAAAGATTATTATCCTTTTTGTTGCTCCCCAGAAATATTTCTTTAGATGAACTTGTGCCTTAAAATAATATCACGACGAGTTTTTTTTGGGTTTTTTCATTCTTTCCAAATTTGTTTGCCACTGTCTGCAATAAGGCTGCTATCGAATTTACGCTATCTTCTGCTGTTGGTTTTTTAAGCTATACGTATTTACTATTTTACAAATACTATATCTATTTAACATACAAAGAACCTGTGATAAATTCCTGAGTGAGGTTTTGAAAGATGAATCTGATATGATATGTTGCAATATTGTCGGCTTTTTTTCCCTTTTCGTTATTAAATTCTTCAATAAAAATAACAATATTACATATCACTTGAATAATTGTGTGTATATCTAGATTTGCATAATGTGTTCTTTGCGCAGGGACAATAAAGACTTATTTTTCATTTCATCTCATCTTATCTATCTCATCTCAAAATATCTTATCTTATCGTATCTTATCTTATCTTATCTCATCTCATCTTATGTCTATCTTATCTTGTCCTATTCCATCTCAGATTATCCTATCTTGTCTTATCTTCTCCTATCTTATCTTATCTTATTTCATCTTATCTCACCTGTGACGTGTAGGAGGGCGGCGAGCAGAGTGGAGAGGAAGAGACGACAGGGGTTAGCCAGGTGCATCCTGGGTAGGCATGGGTGGACACACCCTGGTGAGCGGGCTTCCGTTAGCTGGTCACTGGCGGCATCTGTGGACGAGAGGGGAGG